CCTATAGAAAGGATGAGTAAACAAGTTCAATTTTGTAACTCTATTAAAAAATTTCCCCTTAGGCCTGTCCTGGGTCTTGAAAAGTATTTACTAGGGCTTTACCTATAGGACTTTTGGGAAATTGGATATTTTTAGTAGAATTATATATATATATATATATTTTTTTTAAGATTTTATTTATTTATGACAGAGAGAGACACAGGGAGAGAGGGAACACAAGCAGAGGGAGAGGGAGAAGCAGGCTTCCTGCTGAGCAGGGAACGAGATGTGGGGCTTGATCCCAGGATGTCAGGATCATGACCTGAGCTGAAGGCAGATGCTTAACTGAGCCACCCAGGCACCCCAGAATTATGTGTTTGTTAAGATTAATTATTTAAGGAGTGCCTGGCTGGCTCAGTTGGTGGAGCATGTGACTCTTGATCTCAGGATTGTGGGTTTGAGCTTTGGTTAGGTATAGAGATTGTTTAAAAATAAAATCTTTTTTAGAAGATTAATTTATTTGATTTAAATCTATTACCACCCACTATCATCTATGGAAGAGTAGCCTATTCTTAAGAATTATCTCCTTCCCCTGTGTTAGGTATGCTGCCTGGGATATATAGGCAGTGAATGAATGAACTAGAGACCAGGTAAATTTTATGAGAGATGAGGCAGGCAGGTTCAACTATGGCCCCTTGATCCTTGCCTTCTGGAATAATGTGTAACCTTCTCCCACACTCAGTCAGGCTGACGTATGTGAACAATAGAAAGCTGTGGAGCTAACAAAGTGTGACTCTCAAGGCCAGGTCATAAAGCCACTGCAGTCCATTCAGTCTTGGCATCTTGTATCATTTGCTCTTGGAGGACTTCAACTGCCACGTTGTGAGGGTGCTCAGGTGGCCCCATGGAGAAGGTCAGATCAAAAGGCACTGAGCTTCCTTCCAACCACCAGCCATGTGAGGCAGCCCATGGGAAGTGGGTCCTGCAGCTCCAGTCAAGTCTTTGGATGACAGCAGGTCCAGCCAATACCTGTTTGCAACCTTACGAGAGATACAAACCAGAACTGCTCAGTCAAGACATTCCTGGATTCTTGGGCACCTGGGTGGCTCAGTGGGTTTAAGCCTCTGCCTTCGGCTCGGGTCATGATCCCAGGGTCCTGGGATCGAGCCCCACATTGGGCTCTCTGCTCAGCGGGGAGCATGCTTCCTCCTCTCTCTCTGCCTGCCTCCTTGCCTCCTTGTGATCTCTGTCTGTCAAATAAATAAATAAAATCTTAAAAAAAAATAAAAAGGCATTCCTGGATTCTTAACCCACAGGAACCATGAGAAATAATAAATGATTCATTTAAAAAATATGTTATTTATTTATTTGACACAGAGAGAGAGCACACAAGTAGGGGGAGCGGCAGGCAGAGGGAAAGGGAGAAGCAGACCCCACCGAGTAAGGAACCTGAGGCGGGGCTCAATCCTGGAACCCTCGGACCATGACTTGAGCCAAAGGCAGACGCTTAACCGACTAAGCCACCCAGACACCCCATGATTTATGTTTTAAGCCACTATGTTTTGAGGAGATTTGTTATGCATGAATAGGTAACTTGTACAAAAGCAAAGATCAGAAACAGTAGGTGCTTCTGGGGGACTCGATAGGGTGAACAAGGCAGTCCTGGGAGAAGGGAGGAGAGAAAGGCATGCTAGAGGAGCAGGACGGACTAAGGAACCTATGAAAACCAATTTTCTGCATTTTGTTATTTCACCCAGGATTCTCCCTAAAAAGTTATTACAGATAATCTCTGAAATGTGGGATCAGGAGAATGGTATGTGAGCTTCATTCAGAGGATTGTAGGTGTGTTGTGTGGAGGTGTTCCCGCAGACAAGTGAGTAAGCTCTATCATCAAGATGGGGTTCTGGAAGGGCGGTAGTTGTTCTTCCATTCATACACTTTTGTTGAGGTGGGTTCTAGGTCAGGGCCTGGGATAACTGCTGAGTAAAATAAGCAAGGATAAATGAGACAGAGACCCTGCCTTTAGTAAGTTTGAAATATGAGACTGGTAAAACAAAGAAACCAACCCAGTGACAATACCATGTGACAATGTGATAAATTAGCAGGACAAACTCAGGCAGTAGGAAGGACAGAGGCAATTAGGCAGTAACTTTTGAGTTTCGAAGGATAAATATAATTTGGTGTCTCTCTGGGTGGATGGGGAGGGACAACGAAGTAGGCGACAGTCTTGGAAGAAGAGCCTTCCAGACACCAGGGAGGCATGTTCAAAGACTCAGAAGATTCAAGGTTAGAGGTTCAGGAAACTGTAAGTAGTTTTGAATGACTAGACTAAACTCCTGCAGAGTCTGGTATCTCCTGGTAGAATTTGGTTTTATCTTGAAAGCACTGAGGAGCAAGTAGGGTTTCATTCAAGGCCACGACTTATTTAGATCTGCATTTGGAAGGATTCATCCTGCTGCAGGGGGAGGATGGACAGCAGCTCAGGAGGCCATGGTACAGGAAAGAGGGGGGAGTCCTAATGAAATAATGGCACAGGGCAAGAAGGCAAGGGGCCCGGGTTGAGGATGTCAAGAAGGCGAAGCAGTGGAGCTCATTGCCAATTGGAGAGAAGGTAAGACATAGATCAACGATTCCCAGTTTTCTGGCTTAGGCGATTGAAGAGCTATTTATACTCTAACTCAGTCATAAGCTTTAGGTAGCACTTTACATACCAGTTTTTTTTCTTACAGCACTTGTGGAGATGTATTTAACTGGAATAATATGTTAGTAAGTATATTTTTAAAATGAATTTAAGACTGGTATCTACTATCATCTTCCAGGAAAGGGTGGAATCCTTCAGTTAATGTTTCCTGAACAAAGAAAAAGTAATTACTAATAAGGCAAGAAATGTGGGAGTGGTCTTGTGGGTTCTTGCAACTATACAGGCCCATAAAAGCTGGGGAAGGAATTAGAAACCAACAGAAAAACCCATCCACCGATTTGATCAACATTTACCAAGTTCTTATTTTGGACAAGGCCCTGTGCTAGGAGGTGGAGGTATGAAGGTAAATGACACAGGGCCTGCCCATGACTTTACAATCTAACTTGCTTGTTGTCTTTACTATGCTGCCCTGAGACCTGGGATGCCTTTGTAATTCTCCTTCCAACCCTAAGAAAGTGGCAGATAGCACAGTGTAGCTGTCTTGCTGCCGGAGTGATTGTACTCAGACAACTTTTCTGGGAAGGCTTTGGCAACAGGCAGCAAAAGCCATAAATATGACCCTACCCCCTTTCATCTGCCTCTGGGAATTTATCTTGTGGGAATATCTGAAATAGGGATAAGGATTTATGTACTGGAACATTCATTACCGTTCCAATGAAACAGAGGACACAACCTAAGCTTCTAACAATGAGGAAAAGGTAAAATAACTGATGATGCATCCCTATGGTGGACTACAGGTAGTAATTAGAAATGGTATTTAAAAAGAAAAGTAACAGAATGGGAGATAGACCGGGAAAAAAAGAAAGAAAGCAGGCTACAGATCTCTACAGAATGTGTTCAAAGATACATGATTTAATTTTTTTATGCCCTCTGTATTTTTCAAATTTTTGACAACGAACATGTTATAGGATTTCTATAGCCAGAACTTTTTTCCTTTCTTCTAGAGACCTCACATGGAAGAAGAGAAAGCTAGAAAGACAACCAAAATGACCAAGATTTGGGGAATTCTATTGCATGAGGATTGACCCAAATTAACCGAAATCCTGCATTTTTGTGGCAAGGATTAAATGAAATGTCAGTATTAGGGGCGCCTGGGTGGCTCAGTGGGTTAAGCCGCTGCCTTCGGCTCAGGTCTTGATCCCAGGTCCGCATAGGCTCTCTGCTTAGCGGGGAGCCTGCTTCTCCGCGCCCGTCCCCCCCCCCACCCCCCGCCTGCCTCTCTGCCTACTTGTGATCTCTGTCAAATAAATAAATAAAATCTTTAAAAGTGTAATTGTGATATATAGAAACAGATATTGGTATTAATTTTTTAAAAAGTCAATATTAGTTGCAATGTATTAAGCGACTACTAACTACCAAACGCCAACTAGAGGTAAATAAATGATGCAACAGATTCCAACTAAGGTTTGGTTTCAAATCCTGATTTTCTTACTGTGCTAAATACAAGCAAATTAAAGGGCAACCAGCAGCTCACAGACAAACGCTACACAGAATTTACACCATGTTCAGGGAATGGGCATGGTATTATGTTTGGTCGCTGAGAACATTCACAGGTTATATTCCATTTTTCCTTGCTCCACAGCGTCTGGTTATGTATTTTCCCCTGGACAATCTGTTTGACATCCACACTATATAGTCCTTGTTGATTGCCAGAAACGATGATGCCCTTTGATTTGCATTATGTATCTTCCTTTTCTGGCCCTCCTGTTTACCCTAATAAGAAGCACTTGTTTTTGCACCATTCAAGGGTTGCAGGAGAAACATCTGTCAATGCCCCGGACAGTAAGACTTCCAGAGCTTCTGGATGTCAATGCTAAGTGCACAACGTCCCTCCCCCCGTTCCCCTCACTCCCGTTGCCGTGCAGTGCCTAATCCTAGTTATCTCAGGTTGCACGCTCCAGAGCTTTCAATCGCATCCCACTTCTTCACCCCCACCCAGATGAAACGGCAAGGCCAAGGAGGGGCGGCCTGACCTTGGATCATCTTCGGCCGCCGAATCGCGGCGTGACCTTGGGCGAGCGCCTGCTCCACCCTCCGACAAACCGCGTGGCCGGATAGGCAGGTCTCCCCTGGGGTCACCGATCAGCCCAGCGGGGCGACCCTGCGCCGGCACCCCTTTCTCCCCCGACTTCCTCCGTGCGCGCCCCACCTTCCCCACCCCTACGCTCCTGGCGTTGCGGCCGCCTCCATTCGCACGGCCCTTTCATTCCGGACGCTCGTTTACGCCGCGCGGACTGGGAGGGTGCGATTCCCGGACGCGGCCTGCGCTACGAGCGCGCGGCCGTCCCGCAGGCCCGCGCGGCTTTACGCCGCTGACGCAGCGCGCCCAAGATGGCGGCGCGGTCGTCGTCGGGGGTGGCGGTGGCAGAGGGGGCGGCGGCCGTGGCGGCAGCGGCGACGGCAGCCGTGACGGTGGCGGCGGCGCGGGGCCTGGGCCGGGGGGAATGAAGCAGCCGTGGCGGGCCAGCGGCCGAGCCGTGTAGCGGAGAAGCGGCTCTCCCTCCCTGCTTCCCTTGGCCGAGCCGGGGACGCGCGCGCGCGCCGCCGTCCGGAGCGGGCTCCCCACCCTCCACTCCCGCGACCCGCACCGCACCCCCACCCGGGCCCGGAGGATGATGAAGCTCAAGTCGAACCAGACTCGCACCTATGACGGCGACGGGTACAAGAAGCGGGCCGCGTGCCTGTGTTTCCGCAGCGAGAGCGAGGAGGAGGTGAGGCTCCGGTCGGACGGGCCGGGGGTCGCCGGAGTCGGCGGTCGCCTCGGGTCGAGGCGCGGGGGGCGCGGCCGCTGGGGGAGGGTGTGCCGGGGTCGGGCAGGGCCGCTCGTCTCGGCCCGAATGAAGTTCCGACGGAATTTCTTGAGGCAAAGAAGAGGAGGAAGGAAAAACGACGGTGGGCGGAGGGAAAGCGGGTCCGAGCGTGGCCGCACGGCACGGTTCAGGCCGGGGGAGCTTCAGAGCCGACCGCCTGTCATAGGGGACAGTGGCCGCCGAGAGAAGGCGGTGGGTGGGGAAGTGTGTGTGGCTTTCGGGCCAGGCCTCCAGCTTCGGATCCAGGAAGGGCAGCTCCGCACTTGTCAGCCCGCACATGTGTGCAGAGGCCGCCGTGCACGAGGCGCAGGCCGGCCCTTTGTGCGAGAGAAATAGTCCACTTCACTGGCAGGTTTGGGGGTTGCCGAGGGATTATGTGTCCGTGAGCCTAAGGAGGGGCGGTTTAGGCAGATTTAGGGCGTTGTACGAACGCCAAAGCCAACTGTTTATTTTACAGTGCTCTGGGTAGCCTTCTGGTGTAGCTGAGAAGAAAGGACATTTGATAAGATAATCTTTATGACCTGAAAATATTTCATTTTAATTGGGAAGGCCAAAAGCAATGTTAGATCTTTGCCCTGACATTGCCCTGCAGTAAGGGCTTTAGGATTAAATTTGCTAGCGAAATAGAAATGCTTAGAATCAGTTTCTTTTTGCATGGGGTACTTAAAAAAAAAATCTCAGCCTCCCAAAGCCGTTTCTGTGGTGATAAAGGGAATTCAGAGACGGCAAACGTTTTTGTAATTCCACAAAGAATAGCTGCTTTGGAAATTCATAAGATGCCTGTGGGAAAGCGTTTCTCTCCTGTGCATGGTGGTAAAATGGCAGTTAAACTGGAAACAGTGAAGGACAGTGAAATTCAATATGCTATATTCTGGCATTCAGCAGTGGGCTATCGTGGCAGGGCTGCAAATACAGTGCCTCGTGTTGAAATGGGGGGAGAGGAACTTGACCCGTTAGTTATGAAAAGAAGCTGTGATGAAAGAGGCAGATGGATTGCCAAGAGTTGCTGTCCAGAGATATTTAGGAGGAATTGGGACTTTAAATTATTGCTTGAATAAAATTAGCAAAGCAGTAATTGTGCTATTGAGGGACTCTGTGTGTGTGTGTGTGTGTGTGCGCGCGCGCGCGCGCACACCACGCGCGCGCGTCTCTGTGTGTGTGTGTCTGTGTCTGTGTTTCCTTTCAGCAAAACAGAAGGAAAGGGAATTTGGAAATGTATACTTTGTGTCCTGTCATATATTGTAAAAGCCCCCAAAACCAGATGTATTGTATTGGGGTGCTTAGCAGGGACATGCTGTGAATTATGTAGTTTTGGAATACATACTTGAGTAAAATAAAATTGTTGGTGCTGTTTACTGCTCTAGAGGCTTTGTTCTCTTCATTATCATATCATATTATGGGAAATCAGATGGGATCACAGTCTGTTTTAACTGGAGGGAAAATTAATTAGCATAATAACATGTCTTACTACAGTACTGTGGTTAAGCCTGTGAGCACCCCAATTATAAGTAGAAGGGTGTATAATTTAGTTGTATGAATGATGCAAGACTTCATTTGTTAAAAAAAAAAATCAGACTAGGAATTGAGAACATGTGAGTATTTCGGATAAATTGGAAACTTTTCATAGATCATAAGCAAACTAAGACTTGATTTTCCATTTTCTTTTAGTTTTATCATGTACTGACATTAACAGCCTTAATGTTAAAACGTTTGACTGATTGTGGAGTTTCCTCTGCGGAATTTCTTTTTGAACATTGGTTAATGAGCAGAAGATTCATGCAAATTTTTAATTACAGATTCAGTGGATGTTATAGCTAAAGCCCAGAAAGAACAAGAAAATTAATGAAATGCACCCGTTTTAGACTTGTTCAGTTCAATTAACAAGTATGTGTTAAGAGCCTACTATGGGTGTAGCCCTCTATAATGTGGGATTTAAAGGTAAACATCCCTTCTTGTCCAAAAAAGTTGAGTACTTTTCGATGGGATCCCTTAATTGGGAGGGATTTTGGACCGCAAAATAATCTCTAGGGTGCCGTTCAATTCAGATTACATAATTGTGTTAGAAGGGAAGTAATTTGTTAGTTCCGGGAGAACTTTTATGTTCTCAATAGAAGTGCCAGAAACTGGAAGTATTAGCTGCCACACATTGTGGGAATGTGAAATTCAAACTCAATAGGATATTCAACCCAATTTTATTTTGTAATGGGAACCAGTGGCTTTAATCAAGATAGAATAGTTTACAGAATATTATTAGCTTGAATACAATAGTAATGTAAGTATAAAGGGACCCTGGTTAATAAATTGAATTTACCAGTGTCAGGAAACATACATACAATGTAAAGAGAAAGAGACGGAAAATATTAGCACATAATAGACTGGAATTAAACCTAACTAACATTCTGTTTTTTCAGCCCCAGAAGATTTTATTTATATGCCAGCAGTGATCGCTGAAATACTTACTGAGGTTAGGATGTATGAACATACTCGGCAAGGTTATGGAGTTAGTTTATTGAGATACTGTTAAAAGGAGACAGGTATGTAGGGAGCTTAGAGTCTAGAGGGAGAGAGAATAACAGGCCCAAAAGCATGAAGAGAATGCGTTTCCTTTACTTCAATCTCAGGCTGCTTTTCCTGTTAGTAAGCAAGAATCAAAAGGAAAATTCCCCCACTTCACAGTTTTACTAATTGTTACTGACGTTTTGATAAATTAAAACCTTTAAGTTTGGGACATTCATGATAACTAAGGTGTTTATTACAATACTTTGAACCTACTGATATACAGTAGACAGTGTCTTACCCAACTTCCACTTAAACCAGCGTGGTACACTGAATGCCCTTGTTGCTCTGTGAGCCACTGGGTTCCATATATCCCCCAACCATGAGGCCTCCGGATCAATCGCACGCTTACAAAGAATCGGTTGTCTTTATTCCTGTTTTTATGTTCATCATACTTGTTACTGTAATTATGTGGTGTAATTAAATATGATGTAAGCCTGTGAAATTTGAGTTGAAAAAGAATGGTTTTGTGAGAAGTATCCTAAATGCTTTGGAATGACTCGATAATTTCAAGTCAGTAATGGTATGGATAAACTACAAAAGATGGAGAGGGAGTCTTAAAAGTCTGGAAGGACTCTGCACGTAGATCTCTTCGTGAGTGTTTTCAGGTGTTTGTTTTTCTTTATAGAAACCTGAATTGGAGGGGCACGTGGGTGGCCCATTCGGTTAAGCCTTTGACTCTTGGTTTAGGCTCAGGTCATGATCTGGGGTTTGTGGGATTGAACCCCATGTATTCAGCAGGGAGTCTGCTAGAGAGTCTCCCTCCCTCCCTCTTTCTGTGCGCCCCCCCCCCCGCTTGCCCAAGAGCACGAATGTGCTTTCTCTCTCTAAAATGAGTAAATCTTTTTTTAAAAGATTTTATTTATTTATTTGACAGAGAAAGAGAGAGAGATCACAAGGAGGCAGAGGGGGAGGGGGAAGCAGGGCCCCCGCTGAGCAGAGAGCCCGATGCAGGGCTCAATCTCAGGACCCTAGGATTGTGACCTGAGCTGAAGGCAGAGGCTTAACCCACTGAGCCACCCAGGCATCCCAAATGAATAAATCTTTAAAAAAGAAAAAAAAAAAAGAACCCCTGAACTGGAAAATATAGGTCATGCATGATGGGTGTGGTATATGAAAGACGACTTGCTGTTCACCAGTAGACCTATGCACAAGACAAGGTCCTGGACCAACAAATAAGGATTAGCAAATAAATATATACTTATATTTTTAATCTGCCGTGTCTTCCAGTTAACATTTTATCGTAAACAGTGTAGAAGGCTGAAACTGGTTTCTTGAGTAAGATTTTACTGTTCTAGATTGGGTAGTATGACACTCATCTTTGTCGTATTATTCAACTTCGGCTCCCCGAAAGCACTTCCATTTGAGATTTTCCCTCGTCCCTCTTTTTTGGAGTCTCTGTGATGACAGGAAGTGAAGTATATTAGAGGCGGGCTTGCTTGTACTCTTGTAGCCTCCCAGAGTGGCGTGGGGGAGTGCGGCAGGCATTTTAGATGGCTGAAATGTCTAGCAGTGTGAAATACTCTTTTAGAAAGGCCAGTGACACCGGCTGTATACCAAGTGATTTCACAGTGCTTCGTGCTTAGGAAAGTTAAAGCTGCGCCTAAAAGGTCTGTTTTTATTCAAGGTAGAAATGGAGTACTGATAGGATCCTCTCAGATTTCCCCGTGTATTAAAACTTCTTTTAAAAAGAAAGGACAAAACTGTCCTTAAGGGTCTTAGGTTGGCTTGTTGAGCTTTTCCATCTCTTGGCAAGGGACTGCTGCTTCTCGTTTTCTCAGCTCCCTGAGCACACGAGGTTGGGTGGGGAGATGATTGACATGGAAGATCCTCAGTGGGCAGAGACTCTGGTGGCCTGAGTGTTTGTCAGTAAAAATGTCCCTGAGGAGCAGGTGGAAGGACGTCACTGCAGACCACACCATCCCCTGGGCTCTAGAGAGGGGAGTAAAAGCACAGGTGGCAATCCCAGAGGTGATAACCATGACGAAGAGCTTCCAGTAGATCCCAGGCTGGTTGGGGAGTTTTTTGGTAACATATCTTGGTCATTGTCCAGTATTATTACATTGCTGTAAGGTCATGGTGATCCAGTCATTTGATTGGACGTTTCTGATGCTCATTTCTCTCAGTCTTTCCTGGAGGCTTCTGGGGATGTGTGCTTTCCCTTGTGCCTACCTAATAATGCTGGTTAGTCACTTAGGCATTTCTCCCATTACCTCCTTTTCTATGTCCTGAGATGTGAACTCTGGTCTGAAATCATACTGCAGTCTCCATTCTTCTTTTCCATTCTTTACCCTAACCTTTTTTTGCTCTTGAGTGATTTTCATTTCTCAGTAAATGATGGTGTT